ACGGTCCCCTGGTTCAGTGCATAGCCCCAAAATCATGTGGTTTCTTTTTGCTATCCATGGTAGTAGCAGAGGAAAATAATAGTGCTGAGGGTTTCTGAAACTGTTTAAGAGGAAAGTTTCTATGGATGACAGCTTGTTCTTATGGACCTTACTCAACACAGATCATCCTGGAAAATCTTTATTTCCAACCCTGCAACCTTGGTCTGACACTATTTCAGAGTGAATAAATTTAGCATCACTATGCTGGCACTGATTCTACTATCCCACATCTCCGATGTACACATAATATACCTGCGCCACTTCTGCTCTCATGAATTTAATGGGAAAGGTGAAAAGCCCATGTTGTTACCTTTGGCTGGGTAACATGCCCACCTCAGCCTGAGGTGCAGACACGCTGGAGAGATGGCTGGAGAACCGCCTCCTCCCAATGGCACCCATAAGGTATGCTTCTTGTTCACTTACCACACTGGGCATGCTCAAGGAGTCATCTAGAAAGAAAGAAAAAACAGGAAAGGAGAGGAAGCAACCGCCCCAAACCCCACCTATATATTTCAGTTGTCGAGAGAGAACAGGATGCCAAAGGTGTACCCAGCATTTACTTACTAAGACCCCAAGCCTGCAAATTTGAATACTTCCATTAGATTTTACAGTCACAGTTCAGAAAGACATATGCATAAAACCCTGCAGGATGAGGAACCCGGCACACATGGGGCAGGGATTTATGTATGCTTTCAGTTTATATGGCTCTCAGGAAAACGTGTTTGGGGAATTCAGCTTAATTCCTGTGATTAATAAATTGTTTGTTAATATACAGTGTTTTCTGGCATAAAAGTTGTAACTGGACATTTTGCTGGTGTGTAATAAACTGCTGCTATGATATAGCAAAGCACTGTTACAAAAGATAAAATACATAACAGCAAAATGCAGAACTGACCCTTTAACACCCTTTGGGACATGCATTTTAAAATGTCATCAAAAAATTGGATAAATTGACTCAAATACATCCTGCTGCAACTGAATTATGCAGACAGTTGGATTGTGATCAGGACTGCTTGAAATTTTCAGTGCTGTTTCAAATTATATAAAGTACCTGGAAAGAAATGTCTCTGTTGTGGCTTTTACCACAACAACTCCTAATTGCAAATAAATAAAACAAAATGGGAAGTTTTGCGTAATTTTCTCTTTTCTTTTTGACCTTTTCCAATATTGATATACTGAAATATTTTATGGCAGCATTAAGCCAAGGCAGGGCTGAGGTAGTCCTGCCGCAAGCAAATAGGAAGATAGCACTCATCGTTCCACACAGTGGCTCATAATTAATCTGAGGCTGAAACCAGAGTTTGCCACAGTGAGTATCTGAGCAATGTATTAGCAGTACAATACTGGGTGGATTGTACAATGTTTAGTGATGAACCCAGCTAAAATAAAGTTGGGCTGAGCCTGCAAAGTTTCAGGCTAACTGTTCTTTCCCAAAAGGCAATTCTGCCTTTCTTTTGAGCCACCCATTTTCACTCCTTTTGTTTAATGTCTTTGGGGAATAGTCAGCAGTCCTCAAATACAGAAGTGAAACGCCTGCGTTTCAGGCATTGAGGCAACCAACCGTTGCAGCACCAGAAGATAGTACCCCTGCTAAAGTAGGGGAAGCCCAAGCCTGATGACATATGAGCAGAGTTTTCTACCCTGGCTTTCAGTGATGGACAACTCAGAAGCAGATGGACAGCCCAGAAGCAGAGAGAAGACAAAATTCCAAGAATAACATGAAACTCGGCTGAAATGACAAAGCAACATTCAGGTCATTGCAAATTAGTCCCCAAAAGATTCGCCATTCCATTCCTTCTAAACTGGCACCAGGAAGCCTGGCAACCCCAGAACGTGCCAGCTGCCCAAAAGGGAGATCAAGCTTTTGTTGTCAGGAGGTTTAAGGCTTAATTTCCGCTTTGTTAATCGAGCGACACAAGCACACAGACATTCCACCCTGCAGAAAGCCACAGCTGGATCCCATGCAGCACAAGGACAACATATTCCACGTCAGAGTGTCTGGACAGAATTGATGAGCAGGAAGTACTAAGATCCTGCAGGAACAGGATCCTAACTACAGAGCCAGCCACAGCCCCTTCCTACTGTCATGATGTAGGTCAAAGAGAGGACTGATTGCCAAATGCCTTGTCAGCACTGTGAGGATTGCATGTCAGCTGAGGTCTCATACACTAAAAAGAGCTCAGGAGGGAATGAGGAGGTATGTAATGACGCAAGCTTTAACACCATGAACTGTGTAGCAACCACACCAGTTTCTTAGCCTCCTGCCCCTATGGGCCTTTTGGTCACGCTGGGCCAAGGACAACTGTCTTCCCCTCCCAGCCGTCCTCTGGGGCATCAAGAAAACATCTTCAATACTGGGGGCTTAGCTTGAATCAGTAGCCACGTACTTTCTTCATCCTCCTCATCTGTGCGACTCAGCGTGTCCTGCGAGGCCTGCTGGGAAGGCTCGCTGTCCTGCTCCCAGACCGTGCCAGTGCCGGTGTTGGAGCGGGACATAGTGGCCAGGCTCAGGCGGTAAGCGGAGGTGGAGGTGCCCACGGTGCTGACAGATGTCTTCCCTTGGTAAGCTGCGCAAGAGTGGGAAAACCAAACCCAAGTCAGTGATGGCACCGGAAATCAATAACGAGCAAAGCATTCCTGTCATGTCGGGCACTTGATTCTGCCTGGACTAGTGGGGCAGGGGTTGGCAGAGGTGATGAAACAAGACACAGCTGCCCTGGCTCACCTCATCTCCCCAAAATCTCTGTCCATTTTTCTTAGGCAGTCTGGATTTCTCCCTCAATCTTAGCGCCATATTTTCCAGATCAGCTTCAACATTTAGGAACAAGGAAAATTATTACCAAGGAAAAAACAGCTGAGGCATTTTCTTTTGAAAATTTTCCTGTCCTAAGAACAAAGCACATAAAATCTCTTGCTGTGTGTAAGCAGTGGCCGCCATCTCGTGGCAACAAGGGTGACTGTTACAGGAGAAAAGTGTCCCCTCATGCAAGAGAGAATTCAGTCCACCATCAGCTCGGGATGCTGATCTGCACCGCACTGGTAAGAGTAGAGAAAAATCAAAAAGAGACCAAGAGGAGAAAGGAGGAGACAGATCTGCTGCTGACAAACAGACAGATGTTTCTACATGAGCAGCTTTGGATTTACAGAGATGTAGGTAGCAGTTTGCTGTGTTGTGGGTTGGGGCTGCACAAGCCAGCTGTGACAGTGACAGGCAGCTGCTGGGAAATGGGGGACAGACTTAGTGGAAAAAAATGGGCAGGACAAGGTGTACTTCACAACTAACCTGGACTTCTGTTGGCTGTCCAGTGGCAAGGCTGGGCTGGGCATAGGGCCTGGTCCAGGGATAGGCTGTCGGGGTGTGGGTGGATTACCACATCCCCCTCCTAGGCAGCGGGCAGGTCTGCCTCACAAGTTAATTTATGGGTGAGCCAGCTGGCCAGATTGGGCTGATGGCCCTTAGCTCTTCCCTGTCCTCCTTACCAGACCCGCTGTGCACTGCCTCCTTCAGGATCTTCAGTTCGTTATTGAATTCAGCAATAAGGGAGCTCTTGCAGAGCGGGCGCGGTATGAACCGTCTCTCCAGCTGGTCGGCAATGTGCTGTCGAGCAGTCAGCTCCTCGTGGTTCTCAGCCGGCTGGGCCAGCAGCTGCAAAATTGGGACACGTTAGCATTGCAGGGAAATGATGCCCAGGGAACTGGAACTAGTCTCCAGATCAGCATGAGCCTGCAGCCAGCAGACTGTCTTCCTTGTAGGCATGGGGTTTTGACTCCAGCTATGAGGTTTCCACCTGTCTTTCAGCGACAACCTTGTATTTGACTGACAGATATCAAAACCTCACTGACATTGGTACATGGGGATGAGGGCTTCCTTATGCTAAGCTCTACCGTCAGACGCGAGACAGATCCTTCCTCCAAGATGATTTAGTCTGTCCAAGCAGTGAGACACGGTAGGCTAAGTAAGATGGATTACCATGTGCTAGTCTGCCTGGTGAGCAGGGAAGAGCCGTGAATAACTTAAGCTTTGGCTGCCTCAGCCTAGCAGCTGTCTGTCCATCCACAAGAGCCCTGTCAGAACCTTCACCCAAGAGATGGAAAGTGGAGTGGTCCTTCCTGGCTGTTAGCTTGTATTGCCTGGCTCTGTATAGAAGAGGGATTTCTGGAAGATTTCTGCCAACCCCCTCCTAGATTCAGAGCATCCACACTACTTCCAAGTGCTTTGAGTGTCTTTGTTGCAAAACAAAGACACATGCAAACCCTCTTCATTGAGCCTGATAGTACATTCCCACCCAGGGGAACTAAGACTAGCTGTACTCTGTGGATCAGAGCTCCTATATGACTGGCATACTCTTTAGTGTTGTCTAGGAAAAAGCCCTGTGATTTAGTTTCAAAGGGTTCACAGGCCTACTAACTTCTGAAAAGTCACTCCCTACGTAAACACACAGTTCTTCCAGGAATGATGGTCCTCTGTTCTCAGCAGGGGAATAAAGGATATCTTGCCTTCAGGGAGTGATCTAGCAGGAGCCAAAGCAACTGTTACCTTGCACTGGATGAAGGGCCGAAGGAGCACAAAGATAGGGATCCGTGTTCGTACGATAAAGTCGAGGAAATCCCACAGGGCCAGCCCTCCCACCTTCCGCAGTGCCATCTCTTTGACTTGCAGGCTCAGCCAGTACCACTGGCTGTCCAGTTGGCGTTCAAAGCAAACAAGGATCACCTTCAGGGCTACAGGGGAACACACACCAGCAAATGGCAGTCAGAGATATTATCAGTGTCCCTTGCAAGCATTGAGGGAGGAATGGGGGGGCCACAGTGGGCACAAACCTACACAGGCATGCATGCATGCATGCACGTGCACATGCACACCCACACACCTCAGAGTCACAAGTGTCTTTTCTATCAGTCTCCAAATGCTGCAGGGAAGGAGGGCAACCTTCTTATAATAAAGGCCTCAGGTTCAGGACTGAGAGTCCCATTTCCAGAGAAATTTTCCTACTTCAAACCTAAGTTCCTCTGTATTTTCTTGCTCTAGCTTCCCCTCTCCCTGCCTGCAGAGTTCTTTTGTCTTCCTGGAATTCAGATATTTTGAAAGCAGCTCAGGGGGGGAATACAGCCCTGGCTGATCAGACAACCTCAAAAATCTTGATCAAACATATCCACACAAAGAGTCACCCTGTGAGCACAATAACCTCCAGGTTATTTATGGGGTAATGCAAAGAACCTTTCTAGCAGTGCAGCTGCATGAGTCATGGCCAAACTGTAATCTAAACAAAACTACGGTCCAGTAAGCCAAGGGCCGTAATTCACAAGAGCACTGCATTACAAGTGGGGATGAACAGCGATGAGGTTCAAAACAATGTTCTGTATTGAAGTGGGCAGTGACCAACAGTTAGCTCACAGGAGAGACAAGGAATGTCCCCCTTTCCATGCTCCCCTGGTCTGGAACAAACAGGAATTGTTCCAGGCCTGGGAATTGTTGGGGGAAGGTTGACTACTCCATCTTTTTTGATGGGATGGCCAAGACATCTCAGCCATCACACATCTATATCCAGGTTTGTTGGGGTTGGGTTTGTTGGGCTAAATCAGTGGTGAATTGCCATTTTTTCATCAGTGTTACCCCATTCCTCAGACATGGGTTAAGAAAGACCTGAATATAAGCCTTCAGGTAAATGCCCTCACATAATCAGAAACAGAGAACATGTTTGAAGGAGTGAGAGCTTTGAGACAAAACACTCCCCATATAGCCCTGACAATCTGCACTGCTGCTTCATCTCCAATTTAATTAGTTTTTCTTTCCTTTCACCTGTGGGTCATACGTAAGAAAATATAGTACTACCTAGCAGCAGCAGACAGTGAACAGAGGGAATATCAGTCAGTAAGGACTGTGTGTGCGCAGGGCTAGCAGGCAGACAGACTGCATCATGTTTCACTCTAGCTAGCCAAGGGCCAGTGCAGCTGTGATGTTAGGGGCTGGTAGGCTGTCTGACTTGCATTTTGTGGCTTCACTGCTATATCCTGGAAGTATGAAAACTCAGCGACTTCTAGCTGTGCTGCAATCTCCTCCAGCTGCAGTGCAGACACTGCTCATGTTGCAATACATTCCAGAGATACTCCTGGCTTCATGCTCTGGCCTGGCCCCTTGTTCAGGACAAGACCTAAAGCAGCTCTAAAGAGCTCAAACCTGCCTGAGACGGTTTTCTTTGGTGCTATCTACAGTCTTGAACGCTCCATTTTCTCTCTGTCTCTTCCCAGTGGTGAGCAGAAGCCATCACTCACCCAGGTAGGCAGCCTGGCTGGTGGACTCTGCGAGCCCTTCCCGACGCAGGTCCTTCCCCGCATCCCCTGGGGTGGAGCAATGGGCAGGGGAGCTCTCCAGCATAAAATTCTTGCTGCGGGAAGTGCTGATGATGCGAGGTGGCAGGAGGATATTGATAACAGTCTGGAGCAGCAGCAGGACCTCAGGCTGCTCCAGCCAGGGGCTGTCTGAGATGCATTGGGAGGGGAGAGAGAGAGACAGATCAGGCTACATCCCATCAAAGACACCCAAAAGATCCAGACCCTGTTCAGTTCCAAAATGGGGCGCAATCTCAAATGTCCCCTAAGCCAAAACTCCGTCCCCCACACCTTGTTATGCTGCTTCTCCTCCTGCAAGCAAAGGCAAAGTTTATTTTAGCACCAACACAAACACACACGAACACAGAGCTACACAGCACAAAGAAATGTCCCGTTCAGTGGTCTCGTAATCTCATTTCCTTTTGACATTCCCCTCTCCCTTTACTCTTTGCTTTCGTTTAGGGCTTTACCAGTGATCACCCTCTATAGAAGATAGCAAGGAGCAGGACTTGTGCCAGGCAAGTGGCATGGGTTGGGCAGACTGTGATCCACAGGGGCATACAATTTCTGTGACCTCTGCTCCCCTCTGTGGCTTCTGCTACAACAGATTTGTCTTGCCCTGCACTCTAGTTTCAAAAGAAGGAGCACATCTGTGTCAGACCTCACTCAAGAACCATGGCACAGCTGAAACAAAGAGAAGAAACAACAACAACAACTTCTCCCAGTGGGGCTCTTTTCAGTCTTGGACCCGAAGGGCACTTAGCTGACACACTTCCGTGACAGAAAACCAAATTAAAAAATAAAAATAAAAAATCAACAGAGAGCAGGGAAAGTGCAAACATCGGTTGTCAGAAAAGGGGGAGAAAAACTCTTTTTGTTAAATTAGTCAGACCTTTGCTTCCAGATCCTACTGTGAGCACAAATGGAATCAGTAGGTTTAAAAGCATTCCTTCCCTTCTTTCCTGATTGGTGAATGGGGAGACGACATGGCTTAGGGGGAAATCTTCTTTCAAAGCCTGTGCAGTAATAATAAGAAAGGATTAAACGATTTCATCAGCAGATCACGCACACAAGTTACTGCAGGGAATGACGATCCCCTGGGCATCCTGTTTACACAGTACAACACCGGCATTGATGTCCTGATTGAATTAGACCACTTAGGAGTAAAAGGAATTCACGGAGTAACATAGGTATCACCTGCTCTTGTCATAGCCAAGAGGTAAGAAGCCCAGATTCCTAACTCATAGATATCATTAACAAAATCAGATGTATCCCACAGGAGTCAGCTGAGTGTTAGTCCTAAACTCTGCACTACTGTGAGTGGCATCAGGATCTGACCCAGACTACGGGGAATAAAAAAAACCGACCAGAGGAAATTGCACAAATTACATGATCTAAATATTCTGCTGTCCAAACATGGAGGTTATTCCCTCCCTAATGAATAGGTACTGCCCTATCATCCTCCCTAATGCAAAGAATGAACTCCTGAAAAATAAACAAAATGCACATTTACGTCTTGATGCATAGTCAAGCCTAAATTGAAAGGTCTTTCATCTTTAGAGGAGTTAATACAAATGACTGTCAGTAGAACTCTGCTCATTTGCAACTTCCCAGTTGCTACAGACTTAGCTGTGAAATGCAACTGAACCTTGCAACCCCACAAGCTTGCAGATCTGGGCTGAGAAATTCCAGGAGAAGATGTTTTCTGATGGGGTGTGAAGTACATCTGTTTCATATCCTGCTGGAAGTATTAGGAATACGACTACTCATGTGTTTTTCTGACATGTTTGGTTTTCATTACATTTAAAGCCCACGAAAAGAATGAGTGCAAAGGGAGCAGAGGATAATAAAAGTAAAAACTCCCAATACTTTAAAAAAATTACTAATTTGGTATCTGGTTTTTAAAAAGAGAAAAGATTTCAGAGAAGGTGAAGGTGGCCCTTTTTTTTGCTTTTGATTAAAGAACCATTACCTCAGAGCTGGAAGAAATCTGTCCTCTTTCTGTGTCAGTTTGGTACCAAAAAGTCCTTTTGTGCCTCATGCTCCAAGGGACAGCACTGTGTTTTGGTCCCTATAAGCCCTCCTTCCCAAGCTGCCCCACTGCTCAGAAATGCGTGCTGAAGTATTCAACTGGATGTGCCAATGCATATTTAAAAATGCAAGTTGGAGCTAGATTAGGAAATTTGTCCCTTCATTGGTCACCATTCTGTTTGATTTCATGCCAATGGGGAGGGAAAGGGATACAGAGGCAGAAAGACTCTGTAATAGTTATGGCACTGCTATGAGAAAGGAATAGCGATGAATTCTCCAAAAAGTCCAGGATGGGTTTTTTCATTCTGGACAACAAGGATGCTATTGAGTCAGCAGCTGAAAAGCCAAGTTGCCCTGCTTTTTTGAGCTGGCACACCATGTGACCAACTCAGGTAAGAGCAGAAGAGCACAAACTCCACTCTCAGTTACACATATGGTCCCACAGGAGAAGAGGTAGGGTTGTGTGGATGTGACTTAGGCCAGGGCCCATCTCCCCGTGGCAGGAGAATTATGATAACTCCTTAGATCCTGCAGAGAATCCTAACATGCTTGTCAGACCCTTAAAGAGCATCAATCAGCCGAACTCCCTGGACTTCAATGGCAGTGTTAAGCTGATGGATGCTTGCTGTCGACTTGGCCCCAACAGGTGGATTCTGAGCTCAGTTCAAGCCTTAAAAAAGAAGGGAGAATTTACATGTTGCTTCTCTTTCATTTTTGGTGTATGTTCCACAGTTTTTGCCCAGCTTTTGCAGAAAGAAAACAGAGCACCGATGAGTTGGTGTCTCAACCAGAAGTTATAACAGGCCTGGCCACAGGCCAGGGCAGACAGACCTGTATCTGCAATGCTACAAGCCGGACAACAGCTGTGCTGAAGGGCAGAGGTGGCGAGAGATAAGGGCTGAGATGAAGAAGGGGTAATCCGTCAGCCACACTGGAGGGTCCTACCACTCCCATCACCTGCAATACAAACAGAGCACATCACCACAACTGACTACTTGCAGTTTCATCCATGCCATATCCTCCAACGTCAGTGAAATGGAGGGGCCTTCCATTGAGCACTGGGTTGGGGTGGCTCTAGGAGAACCAGCCCCCCCAGTGGTCCTTGCGGGAGCTGGGGCCAGTGAGGAGAAGGAGTTCTAGCAGGGAAAGGGAGGGGAGAAGAGGGAACCAGCAAGGGTGGGAGGAGTGCACAGGTAACCTGGTACATTTATAAATGTACCCAGTACCAGCCCTGAATGACCAGCACTGGACTGGTGGAACAGTTAGAGTTGGAGGATATGTCATGTAATGACTATAACAAATAAAAATATGTCATCAAAGCAAAAAGTCTGCATTGAAACTGGACATCTTTTCCCTTGTCTTGCTGATCTACTTAAAAAATAATGTCCTAAGTCTGACCCAAGCCGGGTTTTGTACAATGTTCAGATTCCTCTCAAACACAGTCTATTCTTAGGAACTCTAGGTATGATTCATCTCACCTGACCCCAGATGTCTGAAGCAGAGTCACCTGCATGTGACCTGGTTGTCTGGAACTCCTTGAAATATCAGCACAAGAAAATAGCACTTCTAGGGGAGAGTTATTTGAGCCATTTTGGATGTGTCCCTCAGGAGGAATTAAATCACAGGCCTGCATATGCCTGTTTCTCTCCATGACTAGACACATCTAGATGATAGGAACAGGGAGAAGCTACCTGGCAGATGCCTAAGCTTAGGGGAGATGAATGCACTCCATTTTTCCAAATTCAGCCTGGGGAGAAAGGCAGTAACCAGTTTTCTGCCAGAAAACCAAAGGACAATTTAGAAGGGGAAGAGGCAGAGCCTTTTCTTTATATCACCATGGATTATCATTTAGACATTTCCCCACCTTCCTGGCTGGTCTTTTTGGGCTTCATGATGCAACTGGTCTACACATGATACAGCATGCAGTCAGGAGTGCTCCCACAGCTCATAGTGGCCATAGTTCTGGCAGCTAAAGGTAAAATACTCTTAACAGTAAGAGTACATCTTTTCCTGGTAGCTCTCCCTGATGTTCCCAGCCAGCTGAATGTAAGCATGATGACTGCACTGAAGAGCTTTCTGCTATTTTTAGAGCACTGGCTAATTCTTAATGTGGGCCCTTTGGAGAGCTTGCTGATGTGATTCACTCTGCCATGCCTGCTTGCCAAACTGCAAGTCCATTCTAAACTTGTATGTGAGCTAACTCTGTAGCAACTTCCCCATGTAGCAACCCTAAGTAGTCTGAGGGCCCAGATTTGTGGTGCCTCCAAGTAGCTACCTGTGCTTGAATAAGGAAGTCTTATAGACTCTGATAGGTTGGAGCTTCCCTGCCCTTGCAGCGATGAGTGCTGCATGGACTTGAAGGACAGGATCCTGGCAAAAATTGATATTGCATTTTAACTAATGATCGTTGTTTTTAAAGCTCCTCAGAGCACTGGTGAACGCTGGGAGGTTTTCTGTTACTGTTAGAAAAAGTTACAACATTTACATTCTCAGACGAAAATGTTATAAAACCCAATAACAATAAAAATGCTAGTGCAGCCTTTCCCTCTTTATTTGCATTTTTTCCACATGGAATGTAAGCATGCATGTTTGTCCAAATGGCTGGAGTTACACTGATATCAAATTGAGGGTTTGTCCCCAGTGTAACAGCTGCAGAAACACTACAATCTACCACTAATGACCAGACAGGCTCTGTCTATATCATCTCTCTGTTGAATCACACTTAGGAGCATAAATTCTACTAAGAGTGGGATCTGAACATTGTACAGTGCAAACCTGTACTAGATCAAGCCAGGGACATTGCAAACAGTGGAGTGAATCCACCCATGTAAACCCTTCTAACTAGCCAACACCTGATGGCCTCTGACAGAGCCATCAGGGACCTTCCCCACTGGAGACGGTAGGTATCCCCAGTGCCACCCTCTCCCCATGCCTACCAGGTGTGTGCAGTCTCCACCACCCCACTCTCCAACTTGCAGCCCTCAACTCTCAGCTCAATCTGGCAAAGGTGGATCTTCAAAGTGGTGCGTGGGAAGCAACGGAAATAAATCTCTTGACCACCGCTACCGGTCACTGTATCTCCCCATGCACCACTTCAAAAATGAACCTTGCTATCTCTAGTGTCACTTGCGAAGTCCCCTTGCGAGGGGTAAGGGGGACAGGTAAAATGACAGGAATGGGAATGAACTGTCATCTTCAGTCCAGAGAAGTCAGCAGCAGGGGGAGGTTTAGCAAAGGTTCACGGGGTTGCCGCTTGGCTACTCACCAGATTGACACACACATTGATCAGAGACCTAAGGTGAGGCAGGAAGGATATGATTGGCTGCCTCTGAAGTGTCAAACAAACCCCTTCAATCAAATTGCTGGCAGGCTCCCACTCAACCTGGCGCCTGCAATACAACAGTAGGTGCCGTTAGCCACGGGCCTCCTGCCCCCCACCAGACGCTTGCAAACACGGCAACCGACACACAGTGACGCCCACAGAGGAAACGTTTCAGACAGCAACGACGTCCAAGATGAGCACAGAGTGCGCAACAGAGAAAAGGTTTTACCCACGCAGCTCAGGAAAGCACAGAGCCACAGAGCACACTGGGCGTTTGAGAGAGACGAGAAACGTAGCAGAGGGGTCTGCGCTAGCGACACAATCCCCTGACAACAGCAGTGGCGGATGAGCTGTGTTTCACTCCCTGACGCTTCCCTCTGACAGACGGTGAATGAAAGGGAGCCACCAGATAGCTGTCTCAGGTGTGCCTGTGTGGGGAAAGCGGTCTGCTGTGCCATGCTCCCAACTGACAGCAACTCCTCCATCTCTTGTGGCTTGTGGATGTTTTCAGAGAAGGGAACAAACCCCATCAGCCGTGAGCGCCCTCTGTGAGCTACTTTGCAGTCTAGTCTGCTCTGCCAGAGTGACTCGCAGACAGAGTCTACCCTAAACTTAAACTGGCCCAGCAGTACAATCTTTACCTTCCTCACCCTGTGCAGGAGGGCTGATGCATTTCCCTACCAGTACCAAAGTCCTTCATTCCAAGGATCCTTTCTTCCCTGACACTTTGCTTTTTTCACCAAAACAGCTTCCAGGGCTCATGACAGATGCTGAATGGAGTCCTTCCTAACCGTAAGCAGACACAGCATAGGTAACATCAAAGTGGTTCACATCCTTCATCTCAGGGCCTGACTCTTTGGAGTAAGTATAGTTCTCAAGCCACCATCTGACTGTGCACTTATGGGGACAGAAAGACAAGGCTTGCATAACTTGTTAGCTCAAGACTAAACAATACCCTAGTCAAGCTCCTCAGTAGACTTCCTAGAGACACACGGGGGATCAACTGTTCACTTATGCAGACCAACATATATCTCATCTTTCAGCATCCGCTGTTCCTAAATCTTCAGAATAGTAGTTTGTCCTTGTACTTGTTCTTACACATATACTACTCCCATCAGACGCTGGTTTTGGAGCGGGGTGTCCACAGGAGGCAGCATGTAAGATTCTGATGTGAGTATCCCAATGGATGGCTCCTAGGGCCTGGCACCCAGCCCCATCTCTAAGAGGCTTCTTGGCCCAATGATGCTTAAATGTAGTTGCTGCATTTGGTCCAGTGGCTTTGCTGTCACTGTCCCTTTGTGTACGGAAGAGCAGTTTCAGCCAGGCATAGGTACAGGCACAGACAGAGAGAATATGAAGGGAATTTTAATTTATGAGCGTTCACTCAGCTTACACAAAGAGGAAAGGTCTTCAGGAACAGGAAGACCCCTAAGCTGCCTTTGAGGCAGAAGAAAGTATGAGCGAGAAAAGAAAGAATGAGCAAAAAGCAGGCAAGACATGGCAAAGAATCAAACCAACAGGAAAGAGAAGCATCAAAATTTCTGCCTCTAAATTCCCTACGAGGGCAGGAGTTTCTTAAAGCAGATTGTTAGCCAAAGGAGAGTGATAGGTAGTGATGCCAGAAAGAAGAGATCACCTCCCTATTATTTGCTCCATCTTAGTTGGGTACATATGATTCCCACTGGGACCTAAAGTTTTGTGTCTGAGTCCTAAATTCTGATGTTCTCTAACCTCATTTGGCTTCTCAGCTGAGACTGCCAACAAAGTGACTGATTCAAGCAGCTGGGGACACAGGCCCATGAGGGTGACTGAGTCCAATGCCTCTTTTTACTCAGATCACTGGAAAATCCACAGGGCTGAGAGATTTTACACTACCCAGACTGGATTTGTATCACTGCCTCCGAGGTGTGAATGCTCCATATTGAATACTTCTTGAAGTCGCCAAAGCCGGCACCATAATGCTACTGTGTGATGCACCAGGCTTTCACTAGCCACTGACTAGATGTAATCGATGCAGTCCTGTTCCCTTTACTAAGGAGCATTCAGAAGCTACTGCATAGCTCCAGACTATTTTTATCTTTACAGAGAACATAACAGTATTTTCTTGAGAAGGCATGCTAGAAATATTCTTACTACAGTTTAACTTTCCATTAAAAAACAAAATTAATCTCCTCAACTCACAGCTAAAATAAATAAAGAGGGTAGTGAGATGGTACAAATCTGAAGACTTATTTTGGAGGAAGAAAAATGAGATTTCTGGAAGTTCTCTCTGTAGTTCTTAATAACCAAGCATTTCTTCTCTTGCTACCAGAAGACACAACAAAAACGTCAACATAAATGCACACTTACAGAGATAAAAACATCAGTTCATTTTCTGATATGTTGTAAAGATTCACTGCAACATGACAGTTTTGGTTAGATGACATACCCACATTTCAAGGCTTGCAACATCAGAAACGGACCCCAGAGGGTTTCCATTATACCTGCTCACCTCAAAGTAGGCATCTTGTGAATTTTATTGAACATACGATCCAATCTCTTTAAGATGAGGATAAGGGCAGGTCTCACCGCCTCAGCTGTCCAGTCAGTGATGGGCAGCATCTCCATGATGTAGCGCCGGAGACCTCGGCTTTCCATCGTCTGTGTGTCATAAGGTGCCAGCTTCAGCAGGGAATGTGCGATTTCTGCCAATCTAAAACCAGGTTTTGTTAAGAGGAAAATCAAATACAACTTGCATTTCTCCACACATGCCAATGAACTAACAGATAAATCTTCAGTAGCCTAGTAAAAAGAAAAAGATGCAAAAGTCAAATGTGCTGCTATTCAAACTCTTAGACCCAATACCACAGTTCCTGGTCTGTTAAGATTATTTTGCTGGAATCACTGTTTATATTTATGTACATGTGAATGGTCTAAAGAATATTTTTACATTGATATTTAATGCACCAAAGGAACATCAGGAATCATGGATTTGTGTAGCTAAAAACAAAGTACCTGAGCTGTTAGTAAGATTACAGCATTGCAAATGCCTGTGAAACACAGATGTGACATCATCTGTATGTCAATTAATGAGTGATTTGGTTTGGTTTTGTGCTTGTTTTTCAGTGTCACCACTTTAAGAGGTCTCACTGTGCAATTTTCAGGTGTTAAATTTTAAAAATAATGTGCCGTCCCATAGGTTTACACAACATGTACTTCGTACGATTGCTCCCTGCAGCTTTGATTTGTTTCTCCTAACACCTCTACAGATTGTGTTGCTGTTGCTTCTTCTAACCCTCCCAGATGGCCTTGCCGATGGCATTTTCTGCATTGACTGTGAAATACCATGGCAACATTTAACTTACACTTGCAGTTTGACAAAGACCTACTGAAGTACTTGAATATTTGCAGTAGACAGAGACAAGTAATAAAGCTACATCTACTAATAAAAGGGATAGATACCTGTATGCTCCCTGAAACATCAATAGACGTTGTAGTGGACTATTACAGTACAATCCTATTCATATTGTGGGGGCTTCTTCTGAAATGCCTTCAACTAATGGAACATATTTCTAGTCTCTTTAAAATCTGCCTAGCAATATCAAGGGCAACAAGTTCCTCAGATTAACCAAAAGTGCTACACAAGTGTTTCTTTAGCCGGTATTTCTTTATTATTACTTTTTACAACTACTCTGTCCTACTATTCTACAGACTGTTTTGTTAAACACTGTGAAATTTAAATTATCATATAATTATGATTCTTTCTGGCAATACAATATCAGTGGCACATAATGGTATATGAAAACTTTCTTATGCCTTATAAAGTGCAAGATCCATCTCATCCAACTTGAGACGTCAATCTCAATTAATCTTCTAGGTCCGTTCATGCAGAAATAAACAACCTGGGAAATTCTTATCTTCCTGAAATACTGGGATAAACAGCTCATTGGATGTGCATTTCCCTTTTCATTGGGTCCAAAAAGATCTTTATGACTTTTGCAGACTAAACATTTAACTTTTAAATGGCTAAAACTGGGTGAGATGAATCCTGTCTGAAATGACTAGCATATTATCTTGTTTTCTGAAGTCTCTGAAACGGCATCTGTCAGCTTCCCAAGACCATGGCTGTCACATCACATCCTGGTAAATCTGCTCTCTACTTAGAAAAGTTTTTTTTTTCCTACAGTGGTTAAATCCTGTCAGTCATTTCACTGATACTCATGAAATGAATTTATGTAAGAATCAAGATGATGCTCGCTTTTATTTAGGGCTAACTATGGTAAAGCTATTCAGGTTCCAACCCCAATAAAGCAGTTATTTCTAGCACTTTCCAGGAGACATAAGAGAATCAGAGCACAACTCGTTATCTCCTGCAAATCAATCCCTTAGATTTACTGCTGTAATATTTAACCATGAAAGACCTTCTCTCTTGAAAAGAATGCAGTATTTGCCAGCTACTGCTATGTACTGTGACTCTGCTTCATGGAAATCTTCTCACAATAAAGTATCTTTCCAGAAAATATACCAATAACACCTTCTGTACATATGGGTTTAAGTTTGTTAAACTTGTCTTTTAAGAGAGGGACATAAAATAGTTTAAGAACAATTAACTTCAATTACTCTGGAATATAAAAACATGTAGAAATGAAGTTCTCACATTACTGCTAAACTGCAAATACTTCTTGGTAGTACACTAGAGCATTCTTATGTTACATACAAACATAAGACTAGGATAGTAAAAAGAAGCAAGCCCCTTCCTTTACTGCACTAAATAAAGTTCATTCATCAGACACGTGTTCCTCACTCCCATTGAAATAATAAAAAAAACTCCAACATGTCTAACCAAGGACATAATCTGTCCTGAGAATCTCACCTTTGTTTCTAACATAAGATTAAAGTTCTTATCTCAGGCTTCTATTGCTAAAAGTCATGGAGTTTGTAATACAGCTAAACAGATGTATTGATTTCTGAGGCTTGTGTCCCTTGGAAAAAATGTAAAGGTGGCACTGCAAAAGCAGCCATGTCCATCAGGTTTTCAGTATGTTTGCAGCCAAACACTACATAAGAATGACATGCATCTCTGGAGACAGACATATCTTGTTTAAAATTACCCTCTAAATTATTAAACGTTTGCTGGAGGCAGGGAGCAGCAACATTTAATTCATATGCAAACACACAAACCAAACAAAAAAATCACCTCCCAATTCCCAAAGGAATTAGGGGCATTTGTTAAAAAAGACCTAAATTAATGTCAAACACAATTTTGTGTTCTATAGAGACAGCCTGAATCCAAAGATCTCTATGACAGAATCTGCCAGCTAAGGGGATTTGCCATTTTTTTCAGAGCATGCTTGTAAAAGGTAGAATAACTTTTAGAGGGTTTTCCTTGGTCCAGGGGCAGGAACAGAGGTGGCTCAGTGCATTGCTAGGATCTAACACCCCTTCAGCTTCCTTTACAGGGTATTCCTGAGGAAAAAAGTATAGCACTGAAAGAGAGGAATAATTCACAGCCAGAATGGCATCTTGGGGTTCAGGGAGCAATATGAATTACTGTTAAGGTGGTTCTGATTCACTTTTGAGGCCAGTCCCAAACAACTTAAGATATCTTTGCTGTCTTTCCTATTTACTTTAATACTCTACGGAGCACTGTTTGGCTTAGGCCGTAAAAAAATGCCTCTTGGTATTTAGCTATTCGGTATTCAAACAATGATCTTGAAGTATTTCTGTCTCATAAAAGGATTCAGGTAGCTGTTTCCCTGTGACCCCCCTGCCAAAGGATACACTAGGACCACCTCATATTAATCCAGTTTTCCTTCTGACGAGTGCCAGTCAGAACAGTGCTAACTGCGGCTCACTTGGAGAGTATCTGTGCTGTTTTCATTGAGACACATCTTACCATGAAACAACTCTAATGAGTTTATGTTTCCTGAGGGAATACTATGTGAGAAAGGGGTTTCCCCTGAAAATGAATGAAAAACTGATAATAGAATCAGTCCATTTCCTCTTGTCCCAGTTTTTGTTGTCTTTTACATCTGGACAAACTTCTCAATAGCAACTTAACGCTATTTTGTCTTTGCCATGAACAGCATACACAGAGAAGAGAATCAGGTCTGAAGTGCTTAGAAGGCCCTACCCCCCGCCTTCTTCTAGGTCAGCACCACGTGAAACGGTTTGCAGTAAGCATCCAACCAGCAAGCTGGGCTCAGTGCTGCACCTTAATAAAAGATGTGCGCCTGCTGTATCACATGCTGAGGTGGTGGTCCTGTAAATGCCTCCTGCCCCATCCCCACACTTCAGGCATTTATGCAATACGGTGCAGTAGTTGCTCTGCCCTTGTTGCTTGTTAGCAGCTGGTTCTGATGTAGTGTCACAGGGGAGGATAAAGGTCATACTCAGCCAGCTAGGCAGCTTCCCCACCCCTTGCCCTGCAGAGGCAGCCTTATCTGCTCTGCTCCTCACTGCAGCTTATTCTGATGTATCAGATGGGTTTCCATGGAGCTATTTCATCCACTGGAGATGGGGGTCTGAATGACACCAGAGGAGAGCGTATGAAACCTTCCTTACACATAAGCAGCATCAGGTACAATCTAAGGAACATCCAAAACAAGCTCTGCATGTTTCAGACAGCAACATGCAACTACGCTACCAAAAAGTGATTCCGTCTGCTACTATGAAACATTAAGAGCTAAAAGAAAGGAATCCCCCTGAAATGAACAAGTAAAAGCAGAATGCCTGCAGAATACCTCATGTGGGACTTCACATCCAGCAGCTCCAGAGAAGTCACTCGGGGCTCACCAGCCAGATTCTGCAAAATCTTCAGCCTTGGACCACAGTGCTTGTAAAACTCTGTGCAGATATTCAGCAATGACTCCCGCGGTCTCCTGAACTCCTCTCTGGCAATTCGTTCATCCAGCTCCTCTCGGGGAAGACCCTGGCCCTCCTCCAGTAAGTGAAGGTTCTCCCTGGAGGGTATAAAATGAGAAAAAGTAGGAAGTGTTATATGCAGTGGAACAGAAGGGATAGATTATAACAACCTTTCCAACTTGTTTTTGCAACAGATGCTTTCTGCTGCAATGGAAAAGAAAGACGGTTGCATCTGCAATAAAAAAAAAAAAAGGGAAATGATAATCTGCAAAGTCTTGTTAAAAATGTAAAAAATTTCTATATGAACTATCCTTTGCTACCCTCCCCTGAAAAAAAGGCTGCCTGTCACAGCAACAGCGGGTGGGACACAGTGACCCTGGAAACTGCTGGGGAACAGTTCATCAAGTATCAGGGAAGATTGGGCGAAGATTTTACCGTACCTGATAAAGTGTAGTTTGGCTCCCTGTTCTGGGTACCTGGGAAAACAGAAACAGGGTGGTTGTAAACAGCAACTTCGTAATGCCTAAACTGTGCCTTCCTGAAAGAAAGTGACACTGTTTTAGCCCAGAGGTATACTCGCCATGGGCAGGATGTTATCTTGTGTCACTGGAACAATGGCTACACATAGTTAGTGACCACATTGAATAGCCTTTACCTCCCAACTGGCAGCAAACAACAGATTCCTATAGTTATTGCCCTTGTTATGAAAGGAAGAATTCAGTCTTAAAAGCCATAGCCCTCTTTCAAGCAATTTCTCTTACTGATTTTCATCCCAGTGCTCCATCTGTTTCATCAAGCCAGGGCTCACCTAGTGGAAAGAATACCTCAGTGTGTTGTTTTGTTTTATTGTCATTTTCTCTTGCCACTTCTTGTTGAGAAAGCATTAACAAATCCTGCACCACTTGGCTAACACATCCAAGGCTGGAACAGTGATCATTCTACCATCATGAGACTCCTGCTGTTGCTAGCAGATGTCTGTTGCAATGATAACACAACAGAGGAAACAAGGGCAGGAAACTTGGAGCAGTGCAAAAATATTTTGGATCAGAGACTGAGTGTTTGATAATCAGAAAGATCTGGAAATGTAAACCAAGATGTCTGAGTCACACAGCATCAGAAGTTTCTATGTTGCCTGTCAGCAGATATGTATTAACTGCTCTCGAAAATCAGCAGACAAATAATAAAGCCCTACTTTCCATTACACCTTATTTTCCTTAGACTGGGCAATCTTGCAATGGAAGTAAATGGCATATATCCACTTCAGATTTGAGCATGAAGGGGTTTATCTGCTTCTCAGATCCAGGATTGAAAGTCAAAGCCGCGTTTCATCCCTGCCTGAGTCAGTCTTAAAGAATAACAGACTGATTCCAGGAGTTACCAACCAAGATGTGTACACTACACATCTATAAATTGACATAATAGCCCTTTGATGATCCATGCAGAGAGTGATTTCTATCTCCCTTCAATACAAAAAAAGACTTGGAAAGCATGTCTTTCCAGAAGGGTATTCCTGATTTACAGTCCTATACAGCCCGTGATATTGTACTAGACTATTGGCTGTGCACAGACTTACTATCAGCTGTTACAGACAAAAGAGAAATCCAGAGGAAATACTCTGCTCTGGAAGAACAGCTACTCCAGCTTTTGCTAGAGGAGAATTCCCTTTCCAGGTCAGCACAAACATTCAGATTTTAAGCATAGTAAGGCATAGCCTGGCCAGGAGAAGGCACAGCTGCCCAGAAGAGTAATCAGTACTGCAAAGAAAACCTTCATAATCCCAAATGCTTGTGGCTGGATTTTGTAACAAGATTTCTTAAGCCCTTGCTCTATGACTGAATAAATTGTCCGGTGGCCTTGTATAATTTGCAGGAGCCTAATTGGAATGGCCAATATGGCCAAGGAGCAGTATTACAGGCTACTGGCACCATCTCCTTCCTTATTTCCTTCTTCTGTGTGAAGTTTTTTTTGTGGTTTTTTTGTGGTTTTTTTTTAAGAAGGACAAAAATATTCCCAGACATTCTTCCCTTTCTCTCAAATTCTCTGCCACCCACTCCTTTGCTATCTGTAACTGCAAAAAACCCCCAGACCAATGTGGAGGTAAACGTGATAAAAAGAGACTGTAGGAAAAGTAAAAGTAAAAGGAAATGGGAAAGGGAAGAAAAGAAAACTAGAGGAGGTGCCAATCTCTACGAGTCTCAACTGACATGCAGTTTGAGCTTGTACTGCTGTTCAGTCTCTTAGAACAAGGCCAGAAGGATCCGACCCTCCTGCTGTCCAAGTGTGCTCTGCCCAGGGGTAGCTTTGACAGTGGACTCAGTAAGAAGCAAAGAAGAGAGCTGAAGGACATAGTTGCTTTGTCAGTATACTTCTAGAGTGCAAAAAGGGAAACAAAGAAAAAGACATTTGGGAATGGGTGTCCTCCATTTTGATATCCTGGTCTTCTGTTTAGTCACATGGTTTTAAACTAGAAATTCTAGTCTTGGGGATTTTGATTACTGTCAGAAATGCAGTCCTGGGCTATGTGCTCTTTTTATCTGACTGTTTTCTCTCACAGTACCTAGAGCCCTTCCTCAGACAGATAAGGAAGTGCTCCGAGCACTCTGAGCAATGAGATGTTACCTTACTCAAAAAAAAAAAAAGCTCTTCAGAAAAATAAGAAAGAAAGAAATTACCTGGTGTTCACACCTGCTGACATGGTGTGGTTAGCTGTCGTGGCCCCTTTATGGCCTTGGTCACATCGACTCATCTGTGGGGCTGTCATAGGCCTGGCAAAGGGAAGGTGAATAGCACACTAAAGACTCAGCCTAACAAGTGTACTGAAATTCTGCTTGTGATCTGGTGACATTCAGCACTAATTTTACCATGTCTAAAACTCAAACATTATTCAAGCTAAGCTGCATGTCATGACCTCCTGTGCATTCCCTCTCCCCACACTGATAAGCAAATGCAGTCTCAGATCTTTGAACCATGTGGGTTACCTGGTGAGAACTTCTACACTGTACAAGAGGGCCTGCAAAGAGGTGGCAAGGGCAGCCATAGCAGCAATCTCCTCACGAGCTGCTGTCACAGTCTCCACTTGAGAGGTCTGTCGCTTCAGTTTCTGCAAGTAACAGGGAACTAGCGCTTCCAAGACCATCAGCATCTGGAGACTGGAAAAATAACCAATACTTGGTCTGTTTTATTTTGTCAATCCTGAAACTCTCATCAGGCAGAGGCTTAAGTTTCTATCTGAAGACCCCTGGATCTCTCACTAGCCTTGTGATTTCATTGTTTCTCACTAGATAAACAGTCCTGGGCCAAAGAAGCGCTTGGATCAGGGACTTCAGGTGGAAAATCAGCTGATGTCTGAAACAATAATGATAAAAACAACCTGAACTTCTAGGTATCTTCTGAATATGTCATCCATTTGCAGATGTTCATTTTCCCTTCCAAAGACACCTTTCTTCTTTGGTTCCCTCTTGGAAACTAACTTTTTTGCTTTACCAGTTTACCTCCCCTCTCTCTGTATCTTCCTGTATCTTACTGCCCAGGGAAGTGGTTGAGTCACCATCCCTGGAAGTATTTAAAAGACGTGTAGATGAGGCGCTTAGAGACATGGTTCAGTGGGCATGGTGGTGTTGGGTTGACGGTTGGACTTGATGATCTTAGAGGTCTTTTCCAACCTTTATGATTCTGTGATTCTATGATTCCTGTTCTTTCTAGCTGCCTGTTTCTGCCCTCCAGTTCCCTCTCCATTGCTTCTCTGACAACAGAAACCTGCAGGACACGGTGTGATCCCCGCTTGGAAATACAGCTTACGTGTTGCTGCTCAGGCTGCCATCCAGCTTAGTGCTGCAGCCATCCTGGCTGGCAGGATTTGGAGCCAGTGCCCTAGGAAAGGTATCAACAGGCAGAGGCTTGGCCTCGCAGAGAAGCCCTGTGCTTGGAATGCATTTCTATATCCTCTGCCTCCGTTTGTCAGCCTTGCTTTCACATGCCATATGCAGCTTTTATGCCTTTTCTGAGTCTGCACAAACCAAGAAAACACATTAGCACCTTCTGAATGATTCAGGAGCATAGGCCACCACTGTCACACATAGCTTGATGGCTTCACTGATCGAAAAGGTCAAGTCTTCATTCCCATAGCAGAAGTCTGAGGGAGTAAAGGAATATGAGAAGACTATCACACAAACATACTGAATATGAAAGGAGCTAGCATACTCCTTCCTTTTTCCCCTCCAATTGCTTGCTTCTCATGTTAACAATCCCCAATAGGCTCTCATTTTTTGACAAAAAAATCCTGCCATCCAAGAACTCAGTAGGTGAGAAACAGTTCTCAGTAGGTCAAATCACTGCTGAGCATAAGGCCTACTACAGCTGCTACTGGAGTCCCGTTTCAAGCATCACTCATCACAAGCAAAATCTTAAGCTCATACATGACAAGAACGTGTGTCAATTTAGTGACAATCTTTATGCTCCCTCCGCTTTTTCCTAGATGTTTCCACCACACTAAAAATGATGCTGATACACCACTGATGGCAGAAGATAGTTTTACTTCTAAAAAATAAAGTCCCTTCTATACTGGTAGGGTATAAGTCCCTTCTATATTGGTCCCTTCTATACATGGGCACCAGCTCAAAAGTGAGTCTGGTTTGCTAGTGATTTGAGAAAAAGTTTTCAAAAGCATTTAAGTCCCATACTACAAATACTACTTTGGGGATAATTAGTGCCAGGCACCAAGAAACTGAAGTATCCAAAGAATAATATTTGTAATACAACTATAGTCCTGTTTTCAGAAATGACTTTGGTATACAGGAGCCCAAGTCAAAGTTAAGGTCCCAAAGTGTGTAAATCACTTTGAACAATGGAACTTGGAAGTCAGATGTTTTAGGTATTCTGATCTTCATATGGAAAATACCAGGCATACAACATACTCATCGTCACGTGTGACAGTCTCATTGTCAACACACACTTGGGAATTTTCAGAGATGTCTTTGAATAACCCTCCATAGAAAACTCAAAGCTTTTATATAAATGTTTACTACAATACACAAAGAGGAAGAAATATCTTCTGTTTCTGTACCATTTTATATTATAACTTGTGATATAATTGTGCAGCACCATAAAATCCCAGTATATAACAAAGCTTTAACTCTAAGGCTAGACAGGTTTCACAGTCCATCAAAATCAGTATTATTTGAGGGAAGTGCAAATTTGGGAAATAACTTGAAGATCCTTATAAAAATCAGCAAAAATTACTTCCTTGCAAATCACAAAGCAGCCAAATTCTTAGATGCTGCATTGCATGGATAACTATCAAGAGACCCAGTGTCCTGGATACATCATACAGCCGTATATATTCTGCTTTGTGATAAATCAAGAACCCCCCCAGAACTCAGCACTGTTGAATGTCTGAATGGCATCCATCATTTACTAGTCATAGTCTGCCCACGGGAGAGGATGCTTTTGTTTCCTGCCCACATGGAGCAGAGGAGAGGATGACACTGATCTTGTCAGCATGATACAGTTTATTAGGCATCTTTATTCTTCACCCACAGATGATAAAATTCAAAATGCCAGGGGCTAGTCTCAGACTAGCAGGCTCAATGCAGAAGTAGCAGCTTTGGAATAAAATAAATTAACAATTCCCCTCCTGCAGAAAATGTGAAAAGGATGGTGGTGATAAAGCCAACCTTAAAAGCCTCATGAGGCATAAGAAACAGATATGACTGCACTCTGGGAGAAGAAAAGGGCCCGGAACAAATCATGCTGCGTCAAATGCATGCTGAATCAATAAACAACAAACCAGAATTACTGAATAAGGGGTACTTTGCTGTTACCTAATGACTTGAGAGGCTTTTCTGCTTTCACCAGCTCTAAGATGTCCAAAATGTCTGGAGTATCTCCCTCTAAAGACTGCAGCAGGTCAAACAGGCACTGAGCTGACACTCCTTTGCTGGTTCCATTGTTTGTAGCATCCTGTTTCAAAAACAGACATTCGTGGTTGATTTTCTGAGGGCCTGTCCTGGTTTCAGCTGGGATAGAGTTAATTTTCTTCCTAGTAGCTGGTACAGTGCTGTGTTTTGGATTTAGGATGAGAACAATGTTGACAATACACTGATGTTTTAGCTGTTGCTAAGTAGTGCTTACACTAATCAAGGACTTCTCAGCTTCTCATGCCCTGCCAGAGAGAAGCTGGGAGGGGGCACAGCCAGGACAGCTGACCCAAACTGGCCAAAGGGGTATTCCATACCATGTGACGTCATGCTCAGTATATAAGCTGGGAGAAGTTAGCCAGGGGAGGGGTGACCACTGCTCAGGAACTGGCTGGGCATTGGTCGGCGGGTGTTGAGCAATTGCATCGTGCATCACTTATTTTGTGTGTTCTTTTATCATTATTATTATTTTCCCTTCCTTTTCTGTCCTATTAAAGTGCCTTTATCTCAACCCATGAATTTTACTTTTTTTTTTCCGATTCTCTCCCCCATCCCACTGGGCGGGGGTTGGTTAGTGAGCGAACGGCTGTGTGGTTTTTAGCTGCCTGCCGGGTTAAACCACAACAGGGCCTGTGTGCGTTCCAGGAATCTTTATCTGGAGGTGTGGGCAACCTTTTTTTATTTTTGACAAAGGGCACACGTGGAGTTCAAGAGCTTACTGCTATCAAACAGTAAGCCTTGCCTGACTCAACAGATTAATGCTACAGTGGAAGCATGATCTGAAAACTGCATACAGCTTTACTTCCCAGAAACAGAAACTTTCTCCTTCGCTGCCCTGCGAAGGAGAAAGATGAGTGTACTTACAGTGTATGTGCAGTTAGATCTGGCAGTCCCACTTCAAATAAAAATGCCATTAACTTGCTTTAACTCACTAAAATGTTAAAATGTAATTAGTGAATATTTAAAACATGGCTAATCCAGTCTTATGGTTCACATGTATTAAAACTTGGCATTAAGCTTTTAGTTCCTATTGCTGGATTCTAAGAAAGGATTTGCCTTTAAAGAGTTACAAATCATTACTGTCCTTTTACAACCTATTTATACACAGAAATTTAAAACGAGACCACATTTACTAGCCTGGATACCAGTGGCCCATTATCTCAGCATCCTGCTCAATCAACTGATGAACAGAAGCATGCAGAAATAAGTTCAGGACCTGGTTCTGTGCAGCACCAAGTGCAGTAAGCACATGTTCAGTAAGAACATTCTTTGTGATCTCTGATGCGGGGCTGGCTGCATGCACAGGCTTCCCCATGCTGAGACTAGGGAATGGCTTTTACTCACAGGGAACTCCAGGAGAGGGGCCACACTTGCAAACAGCTGCAGAATAAAGGGCTTGCGATGCAGAATGTAGAACTGGCGGCACGCAAACTCAATCGCTTGGCGTAACTGGGGGTTGCTTTCATAGTCAGCGTATACCTGAGCAAATGAAAAAGGACATGGAAGTACTACTCCAGTGAAAGGGCTCTTCATCTCCTAACCCCAGACTGAATCAACTACAGCCTTGTCATTCCTGATATGTTTGCCTAATGTTTTTAAAGATGGAGACTTGTCTGCCCTCCTTGGCAATGCATTTCAGGGACAAACTGTACTTAGAAAAAAGGCTTGCTTGTCACTCTTGAACCTTCTTTGTCACAGCTTTAGTCCATTATTTTTTGTCCTATGTATCAGAGGTAGATCCCTCCCCTGTCCTTCCCAGAAGCACTCGACTTGTTTGAAGCCAGTTAGTGCTTTCTTCCTCAATCTTCATCTTTTTCAGTTAATCAGAGCCTGGCTCTTTTAGTCCTTTCTCATATGACATGTTTTCTAGAGGTACATCCCTGTTCCAGTCTGCAGTCTCTTCAGTTAACTGATGTTTTTTGTGCAGTGCCCACAGCTGGACAGAGCCAGCACTTCAAGTCAGGAGTGCTGCTGACTGGAGCAGCAGAATTATTCCATGTTTCTTTCACAGGATAGAAATCTGTATAGTCACCCCAGAATGGCACTTGAGATCTCTTCTTTTTTCTTTTTTAGCCTTCAACAGAAGGACACTGTTGATTCAAGTTTACCTTCAGATCTATAACAACTTCAGTATTCTGTTCTGCAGAAATGCTACTGAATCAGCTACTTTCACTTCCATATTTATGTGGCTGATTACTCATAAGTAAGGACCTATTCTTGTCCAACCTGATCAACATAATCTGTTTTTTTTTCCTTTTTTCAGACTGCATCTCCAGTTTGTAAAGATAATCTGAACTCCCAGCCTGTCCTCCAACACAGTGACAGTTCCACCCACTTTTAAGATATTTTAAGATTTTGAGAGTGGCATTTCCTTCAGGGCTGGCCACTGAACCATGCAGCCAATGTGTTGCCAATGATGTGGGATTTGTTTCTCAGTTATGTAAACAGTATAAATTGCTAGGAACAACTTCACTGTGCTTCCTTCTTCTGTCCATTTCAACTGCCTGTCTGCACTTCTCTGCTGGTACAAGTCTGCGGGAGGTTTGGGGTTGGGGTGGGCAGGATTTTCTTGCTATTTGTTGGCAACAGGTAATGCTGAGATTTTATTGTAGTGCAAAATTCACATTACAGAACAGGGCTCTGAAGGTTTCTAAACAATTATTGGTGTGCAAGACCTCTGCAGAGATGTATTTACTCCACAGTAGCCTAATAGGCTGAAGAGATGAGGATCTCTTTAGAACAATCAGAAGCCTCTAGCATGCTTATGAGGACAGTCAATCACCATGGCCTGTTACGCTTGCAATACCTCATTTACTTGAGAAAAGGGAAATAATTAACTGTATATGCATTTCACCAAGGAAAGCAGAAAAACCTGCAACAAAAAGAGCCCTGTAGGGGTATGTGCACGTATGCATCAAGAATTAAGCTATTAATGGCTGGTTCGAGCCCAGAAGGGGTAGAAGAATTTGTTTGTGATGACCACAAACAAACCAGCTGATCTTGGGTGCCTGGAACAGAGATGTGAGGGTCTGCAAAAACAAACAAGCTCAGCAACACTTGGGTTTTCTTTTGGAATTGCTTTTTTGCCTCCTGTGAGTGGTATTTTATTAATTCAGTAGTTGGCAATAACTGGGGGGGAGGGGGGGAGGGGAGAGGAAAGAATTACAAAACTGATTTCTCTCAGTATGAAAAGTGGAAATGAAGGGACAGTCCTTCACAGGACTGAATGGTTACTGTCAAGTACTTCAAATTAAGTTATTAAGTTATTTTATTTCAAAATGTCTTATTTCTAATGAATAAACCCATGCACTGCAGACCTGGATCCAATACATACTTATCTAACCATGTAAGGCATGATATTAAGAGTTTCCAGTTACTAAAGAGTTTGATTAGATAGCTAAATTCATCACTGGTCCTAATTATTGTGCTCTGTAAACTATGTTAAAATGAACATACATAGGGATGTTGTGGTCATTGTTTCTTTTACAGAAACAATAGGTTTTTTCTGCATTTGCGTTATAATACTAAATATCTATTTAGATACTGTCTTCGAGCCCTGCAGAAATAATCTTTCTATCTGTAAAAGAACTATATTGGGGTTTTTTTTATTTTCAGTACCTGATTTTTCCCAAATGTCAATAGGAAAAAAGGCATTTTGTACACTTCAAAGTGAAGAGAAACTCCACCTCGAATACTTGCAATATTTATCATCACTCACATGAAAAGACAACATACAGTTTTTCATAAACACTTAGCGTTATTTTCTGTTGCTAATTAAATTGCAGATAATACAATTATCATACTTAAAGAGGTGAATATAATTTAGTTTCAATCAGCAAGTAGCAAGTCCAGATATTTCAACTATTCCCCAAATTTCAGCCATCCCTGGAGGAAAAAACACTGAGAGAGACCCAAGGTCCAAAAATTTTCCAGAAATTTCACATTTCTGTGTAGAAGTACATAGTAAGGGAAACAGACATTCATTTATTTAACATAAAGAACAAAAGAAATTGTAGTCATTTACTCAAGAAGAAAAGGGAATGTAGTCTCAGGAATGCTGATTTGGGTCGTCCCACCTGGCTTTGTTGTTTGCCTTCTTGGGGCCCCCCAAATCTGTGACCTCACCAGGAATCAGCAGTTCAAAGTTTCCCCATTAATAGTCAGTTCTAGAACAAAGTGCTTGCTCTGAAGTCTTCACTCGTATTGTTCGTGGAAATGGCTCACCTGCAACATGCTGGGGAGGACCCACTGGTACCCGCTGAGGGAGAAGAGGTGGTTAAAGTGCACAGCTGTGTTGATGACTGTGGCAGCGTACTGCCTCAACAAGGCACTGTCCTCAGGGTGCAGGATCAGGGCACCATTGAAGACATTCAAGAACAGCATGATCTCATCCCCCCAGGGGAACTCGCTGGGCATGCCAAGGAACATCTCCTCCAGCAGCTTAATCCACAAGCTTTTCTGAAGAGTGTCCAGACCAAAGAGCTCTTTCCCAGCTGCGGGGGAGAAGAGGCAACAGCAATCAAATCAGTCCACCACAGCCAGCCTCACAACATTCCCAGAGGCCAAAGGCCTCTCCAAACAACCATCCCACAACACTGACCATTGTTCTGCCTTTTTAAAATTATTTCACCCATCCTGTACTTCTGGAAGTGCCCACAGGGCTTGAGCAAACCCTGACCGAAAGCAACGCACATGAAGACGAAGAATGATGAATATCACACAGCTCATTACATCTGCTCCCCACTGGCTGGAAATTCTCCTCTTATAAAGTGCAAGCAGATCTGAGCTTGTACGTGCATAATCTGCTCCACACAACCTGAATGGCTGTGTGGATTTATGCTGAATTTTTATGCTTCAGGTGTCCCACACATTACAGGGCATTGATGCATAGTTACAATAATGCTTCTGAAAGCAAGTGCCTTTAGGGCCTGTTACAGAACCTGCCAATGCTTACCATCCTGCAACAGGGGCCTGTTTAATCCCCAAGTCAGGCTGGAAACGCTACATGACTTTCAGATCAAAGTTTCTAAAAAAGAGGGCTGTTTCTACATCCCTGCTGCAGAATTTGCCTAATCTTCATTGAAAGTCCATTGGTTCCTCAAAGTGGATGGCAAAGGACTCTGAGCAATTCTTTTTAGGTGCAGTTATGCTACTGGACACAGTATTCCAGCTGTAGTTTCATGCATAATTTTAATACATAATTATAACTTATTCTCATTTGGGTCCAAAGAAAGTAGCTTTGTCTGGAGACCTCTAGCAGCAAAGCCCTTTCCGGTGTTGTGCTGACAAACCAACAGCTATGTATCATTTTCACTAGGAAGAGATTTATCAGCTTTCAGTAATGCTACAAGTCTGTATGTGTCTAAGGCAAATGAAGCCTGCATGTTTTTAAGGCAAATGAAGTGCCTCACAGAAACCTTCTGGGCCCTGTACAGCCACCAGAGAAAGCTATCAAAAGGCCATACCTTGGGGATCACTGAAGAGTGAGAACTCGGCATCAATGGCACTTCGGGGAAATGAAGGCAAGCGGAGGAGATCTTCCTGGAGCATAGATACATGGGACTGCTTGTGGGCAGTAGGGATTTTCTGTGTCAGCGATATGAGGAACAACACCCGCCCCACCTCTTCTAGCTTGCGGGTGAACACCTGAGAGAAAAAGAGACAAGGATCAAAATCAGTCTGATCAAAAAGTTCTTTACAACGTATATGCACTTTTCTAGGTTAGCTTCCATGACTTCCTCTGATGGGCGGGATGCTGCACTCACGGCCCAGAGGAACCTGTTGAAATTCACAGGGATAGTGCTGCACCCTTTTGCTAGAATATGTGTGACCACTGTTCTTCAGCCCAGCTTAGCAAAGATGGATCATGTTTGTAAAAGAGGTTTTAACAACACTTTCTATTTCAGTCTTGCAGAGGACCCTGAGCGGTGGTCAAACACTTTGCAACTGTGCCATGCGGTCTTTTGTAGATTAATGTAATCTTTGCCAGTGTGAGCCCCAACTGTCAGGGGCAGACCAACTCCAAACTGAAAGCCATACAGTTGCAGTTGCTCTCTGCAAGGTCTTAGACTATAGTCAACAAGAGGTTGGAATGGTTATCTACCTTCTGGGTTGAGGCTGGCTCATGTCTGGCCATAGAAAGTGTATGTATGGTTGCAAAAGAAAAGTAGTCAATAAAACAAAACAGACCAGATTCTGAGTTACTGTAAACAAGCAAAGTCCTGCTGACTTCAGATTATCGCTTCTGGTTTACGCCAACCGGGAAACTGAGTTTCACACTACCAGCCTCCTTTGAACTTCTGACTGGTAGGACTAGTTAGGCTAGCTATTTTATTTTGGTGCTAAAAGTAACCATAAGGCAGAGTGATGCTCAGTAGTAGAAGCAACTGCCTTTGGAAGCAGTTTCGCGACAGCTCTTAGCTACTGGGATGAAGCCAAAACTTGAAGCATGTGGCTTAACATGTGACAAAGCTCAGCTTCCCACATCTTGCAGTTGCTATGACCTTGCTGTGAAGTGCACTCAGCTTAGAATTGGGTGCTCAATCAATCAACAGTGAAGAAAGTACTTTTCCATGGCTTGCTGCTCTGTGGGTAGACTCTACAGTGCTGTTTTCTTTGCTGAAGCTGGATGTTGTCCAGCAACTTCTAGCATGACTACAGAGAGGCTGGTAGATGCTTGATTTAAGTTTTACCTTAGAAATGTTTTGGCCTCTAAGTACTCTAAATAGAAAAATGTGGAGTGTAAAATAACGCCCTGACAAAACTGGTCAGGCCATTTTAATCTTTTGGGGTCACGTAGGACATATCAAACTAATTTATTTGATATGTGGGACGCATCTCCTAGAACCACAGTGAGCATAATTTCTGCCAGAGAAGCAATCAAAATGTTCCCAAGTAATTTCAGATTTTTATAGACTTTCTACTGACAGATGCAGCACATGAAATATTTCCCTATTCTGTATTGTACACATATGAGAGAAAATTAACTATATTCTCCATTATTTTAGCTGCTAGTCCCTCTTAAGCAGCTTTATAGCTGCTTTTTATAACACTCCTGATGATATTTTCCTGTCCCTGCACTCACATTGCCAGGGACACAACTACAGTAGCTGCTTTTTGGCTAGAATAATACAACTGTTAATACCAAACTCATACAGTATAACCACATCCCCCTCCTTTTTATTTCCTGCTTATTATCATCCTTTGCAGATACAGCTAGAGCAACTTTTCCCTAAACACTCAACCCTGTGCTACTGAGACAAATTTGCTTTTGTGGAAAACAGAGCATGTGGCTTCTACAGATAGAGTAAGCTCAATACCATTGTCTTACTGTCTAAAGAAATGATACTTGTAGGGGTTTGCAGCACATTAAAGGCACTGCCCTGCCACTTTAGTTAGGGTTTAGTTCCTAAGGGAGAGCTCCTGGGAGCTGCAGAACATTAGCAGGATCGGACAGATTATCAGGTCATGAGGCTGGAAGTTGGAGGACAGTGCTCTTCTGAGGGCAGATATTTCCCTGAGAAAACAATCGCTACTGCTGTGCCTCTGGGAGTAGTGATGGTAAGACTAGCATCTGAGAGCAGGACAAGGAAGAGGGGTAGGTAACATTCTTTACAGTGAGAGGACAGAGAGGAAGGTAGAACAGATAATTCCTGCTCCACAGCCAGATAGACTTGAGAAGAAAAGGTCTTAAATGGGTTCCTAAAGAGCCAGAGGTCATGTTAAAGAAAGAAATAAGCAACTTTTGAAGCTGAGGCAACTGAAGCTCTTCTGGCCAAGTGTAGGAGAATGCAAAATGATCCACCTAAAAGAAGCTGGCTGGAGAGAGTGGGAAGGAATTCACATTGCATTCTTTGACTCTTCTTAAAATACAATACACCTGTCCAATGGCACCAGGGCACATTTCATGCCAATTGTTACTTCTCCAGCAAAGTTCTCTATCTGCATGCAGCATGAGTGAAGGCCTTAAAAGGAAAAAGAAAGGTTTATTTACAGGGTTTGCTTCTGGGCAGAGGTGTTTGGTAACAGTAAGATACCTGCTTCTGAATGAGCTCTTGACCTTTTTCTGGATGCATCTGCACCAGGTTGAGCTGGGGAGAAACTGACCTCCGGAAAGGATAAATGTCACGAACATAGGTCTGCCAGGAAAGGAAACAAGTGTATTTTAAACAAATGCAATCGTAACAGCATTACTCAACAGAAATTACTAAAAGGCCCTTTAGCCCTTTCTGAAGCTTTTGGGTAGGGGCTTTCAGACAGTGTCAGGCATCATGGAAGAGCATAAACAGAAGAGAAATTTGCTCTTTTCTAAGAAAGCCAGACATTAATGACTTAAAAGCAAGGGACTCCACTTCTGCTTCTTCCCTTTTCTATCAAACTGCAATCTTTCACCACACACAACTAAACACCCAAGATGTGGTGCCCACAGGACAGAATTCTGTCTGTTTATGGGCTGTTTGTTCTCCTTTAGATAACCCCAATGTTTAAAAGGGACAAGATGGAAAGAACAAAGTTGTCTGGACCTGACCTTTGCCTTACCTTGTTGTAATGAATAAGATTCCATCGCTTATCCATTAAAAAGTAATGAGAAGACTGTGTTTCAGGTATATTAAAAAACTCCAAACACTCCTGAAGAGAAAGAAAGAAAAACATCCTGTTACTTATTACCTGTCTTGTACAAAGACCACAACATCCAAAAGAAGAATATCCACCTAATAATGTATAAAGGCAAAAACCTGCATGCCTCAGTCAGGCTGGTACATTCTTCTGGCATTAATTCTTAATTTCTTTTTTTAATCATAAAGTACATGAATATGTTTGTGATAATCAAGGCATGCTGATATCACAGTCCTGAAGACTGATGTTACTTATTTCAATGTCTTCATATTGCACATATTTGTCTCTATATGAGCCACATGGGTATTGCAGCTTCCATTTCCATATTATGTATTTATCAAGCTTTAATGATACATGATGTACAGAGACACTAAAGTTCAGATTCTTCAAAGCACTGAGGTGTGTGATTCCCATTAAAATTTAACATAGTTGGACAAACTGAAGGCTTTTACAAATCTGTTTCTTATGTGGCTCGGTTAAGGCCATCCAGGAAATCTTTGGCAGAAGGGGGAACTGACCTCACATCTCCCAGATCCCAAGATACCATTGTGGCTACTGAACCATCATTTCTGCTCTGATCTTGGTCATTCTGTTTAGTCTTTAGTGTTGATAAAACCAAACATTTAAATGATATATGTATTTATCCAAAGGATAGTATACAGCAAATACCCAACAAACTGCAGTGTCTTCAAATGTAGTTGCATTTGTGGGGTTTTGGCTGTCTGTGAGGTCAGGGCATTTCTGTTATCTTTAATATGGGATCCTGTTTCTTGCAACCAAGCTCTCCTCATACGGAGACAGAAATGGCTGTTACAGCAAAACTTCTCTCTCCCACACTGAAACAGGACGATCAGGCAGAATGTATTGCTGGCATACAGGTATGGCAGGTAAATGTACTATTAAGCAGTTTGTCCAGTTCAAAAACTCACTCCTACCTTCAGAAGAGCCTCAAACTGTGTATCCTCATGGACTGGTAACTGAGTTGGGATGTCACACTCATTCTGTCCATGCACGACAAGAGTCTTTGTGCCTAAAGGAAGAAAAGCAGTTTCATTCTCTCTGGCTTCATTAATTAACTCAATTTCAGAAGACTGCCCATGGAGGAAAAGCGATAGTTAAAATTCATTCCTGGGCAGACAGACAATACCGGTCCTGTCTGGAATCCATTATGTAGTGTTAGCATAGTCTCACACTTCTACAGTTAATGAGAAATTGATCTGTTCCTAAAGGATTGAGCTGGCTTTAGCAGCAACCGTCACTCTGAGGAAGGAACAAACCTAAAAGGTCAAATCTGTTTTTCAGCAAGATATCTCTTGCCTGACTCATGACGCCTCAGGCTCACAGCATGCTTTTCTTGGGCTCTCTCAAGACTTAAATGAGAGGTTGCATCAAATCAAACTGAGTCTGAATGGCGCAGTCTTACTACGATCATCCTGCCAGCCTTTCACAGCCCAACTGGCACAAAGCTCTGGGTTGAAAAGACTGTTCTAATTCACTTTCTGTTTGCTTCTTTTAGAGCTTTTAAAGTGGCTTTCTGAATCTGAGGGAATTGGAAGTGGAATTTACCGACTGAATCCTCAACTCAAGGAAAACTGACTTAGAATATGCAGCCATTTGTAGCAGGTCTTTTTCAGACCCAGTTCTGATGGAGCTCCTTTTTGGTAGAAGGGGTCATGAACTTGGAAGTGAAGGAGATTTAAAGACTCATTTCTTATACCTGGCATTGAGGCAGTCACCAGCAGCTTCACTTCACATTGTTCCTTCTTCATAGTCTGTTTGAGATCCTTGAAGAACAGTCCTTCTACATAACCAACCACTTCCCAAAGGAAGGTAAGTGTGGCAGAAATGGCATCCATGCCCCATTCACACGGCGTGCGTACAAAATACATGATCAGTCCTACCTGCAGGTAATAAGTAAGAGGAATATCAGGTTATACACACTTTTAACTGTGCAGAGCTTAGTATAAACAGAGAACAAGAATATTGTTCTTCTACCTGTCTTCACTCAGAAGGATAAACTCATTAAACTTGCGTCCTGAAAGTTTACACATACTACAGAGCAATCAGCCTGTACTAGGAGGATGAGGGATGGGGACAAAAAGTACTGTTGCAGCCCAACCTTAAAAGCCATTGTAGATGAGGAAAAGGGAGAACCTCTGCAGTAAGAGAATTCCTGTGCCTTCTGCTCTGATGCGCTGCCATATAGACAACTCACAAACAACAGAGGGCTCCTGGAGTAGCATACATCTTGTCTGTTTTTTCATCTCCTAATTGAAAGAACTGCAGCAAATCCATTTTCCACAGTCTAGAAAGAAGCTACTAGATTTGCTCCAATAGGACTGTCCAAGAGCAAAGCACTTTCTGAATCAAAATTAAGTAAAATAATTTGTTTTTTGTTTTCTGGCACTGGGATCCTTCTATTGGTCTACAACTCATTGTCCATGGTTCCATTCAGAAATCCATGACAGGTTGCTTAGGGGTTTAATAAAAAGTTAAAGGTTCCTTTTCCTCTTCCTAGAAGGAATGAAAGGCCTGTGTAAGCCTGTTGACTTGCATCCACAGCCAGAAGCAGGTATGAGCTATAAAGGAAAAGTTATGAGCATTTATTTCCTTGTAGATTCTGACATTAACTTCTTAGGACACATGCAGTCAGAGGTGAGATTCTGGGCTGCACAGTGGACCCACAAGCTACTCACCAAATAGTTAAAGAGGATGTGAGATGTCTGGGCAGGGAAGTCTCCGATGTTCAACAAAAGCTTCCTTAACATATACATCAGCTCATCCTGGAAGAAAGGCAAATGGTTTTTCTTTCCCTCACAAAATGGAGAATGGATTTCTCCCTTTTGTCCTCCCTGGTTTTGTTTCTTCCCATTTTTCCGTACTCCCTTGTTCAGCTCTGTCTCTTGGTGCATGAAGTAGAACTATATGCTTGTGACTGCTCCCACATTTCCCAAAATAAGGCCCAGGGCACAGCACCCAGGTCAACGTCTTTCTTTTTTATCTGAGAGAGGCCAATAGCTCCTATTGCAATTTGTACTGACTGATTCTGCACTCCTCTCCCTGTGATAATCCCTGTGTTGCTTATCACAACAAATGACTGCCTAGATGATCTGTGAAATCTAGTTCAGCTCAACTCAATAGCTGTGGCTGCTGGGTAGGAGGTGGGGGCAGAATCTAACTTTTCTTCCTTTAGAGGCTGCCTGCTTTAAATGTAGACTAATACATTTCTTATGGTGGGAAGGGGGTGTAGAGTGGAAGGAATCTCACTGTCAGCTAAGGACTGACAGACCATATAATAGATTTCTTCTATGGCCCTCATCCTCTGAACCCGCAGCAGATTTGAGCTAGCGTTAGGGGCATGAATATGCATAGGACAACCCATGACAATGGTACATCTGCTGAAAGCTTCCAAGGAAATACACCTGTTCTCTGCGTTCTGTACTCACCGTTGTAGTAGGCTTATGAAGAGATGGTAAAACAGCAGACTATGCTAGCTCAGAGGCTGCTGAGGCTGGACAGCATATAGCTTCCTTCTCAAAGATACTTAACAAACAGAAGTGACCCTCTGAACTTAAATGGAAGCTTTGGGGACTATGTCTGAGAAGTCTTAGGAATGAGTGAGGGCCACTGAGATCTGATTACTCAAGGAACCAAAAAGCAGCCTTTCCTGGCCTTTCTTGAGGTTCAGTATTCATTTTGTAGTCAGTTCTTAGGTGGTGGCTTGGAAGATGAGGACAGTGGTATTATTGATATCATACAGTGAGTGGCAGTTGAGAAAGTGGTATGGAGAGTCTCACTGCCTTTCATCCAGTCAGAACTGGTATGACTTTCTTCCATAAAGCTTAGCCATGGCACTAGAAAATGGTCTAATAAACCAGGGAGAGACAAGGCCACCCCCATCTTTCGGAGAAAGCTGAACAGAGGGCATGGGTGAGGCAATATTGCCTGTGTTAGATAGAAAGGGTTGTGCTTCACTAAGCAGCTGTTCAAGCTTTGCCTAGAGCAAGTCAGATCCTTAGCGGTGGTAAATCAGCTATGTCCCATTTACATTAGTGGACAGAGATTGAAGCCAACTGATGATACGGCCTAAAAGCCTTTGAGCTGCGTTATAATAGTGAATGTTCTTCTCCAGTGATGCCCACAGAGTGATTCTGCTTGCAGCTGTGCTCCCCTGCTCTAAGCAATACATACACCCATTGGTGAGACGAAGAGTTTACCTGTCGGTTGCTGATTGTGAGCTTCTCAAGGAAATGGCGCAAAACTGTGGAGGGGTCTTCAATTAAGCAGTTCCACAGGACTTGCTGAGCAACAGCGCTTACTGTAAAAGAGAAAGAAAACAAAGTCAAAACCGTCTCCCTTGGAAAAGCCTTGAACTGGTACACTTAGACACAAAAGTTCCTAATCTTCTACCACAATTGTCATTTTTGTACTGAAACACACAGGAGGATTCCTGGTCCCCAGTGCAGTCATCTCAAGCAATAATGATAGGTGTAATATTTGAACCTTCCCTAGCTATTGGTGATATGGCAGGAAGCACTTCACCACTGTAGTCAGAGGAACAATAAATAAATAACTAGTTGGATTCACAACTCCAGGTGGACGAATCTGGCAATTAAATAACATAAATTCATATACTTTTTTGTTGATGCATAGAACTTAAATTTCATGGTGATTCATTGAGTGATTTTATCTGGTATTGGTGAACAGTATTAGATAGCAGGGAATTGTGTTGATGATCAACTCCCCAAAGTGTAATTAATTGCAATCCTGTGAAAATTAACAACAACAGAGAATTATTCATTTATTTTTTTTTCAGTACTCAGTCCCTGATCACAAAATGACACATACATTATTTAGGTGGCTGACTACACCCACCCAAAACTGAATACAAAATGTAACAGAAAATGAAATGTGCAGTCAGCTGACATGATGAGTGATGAGAAAGGAAGAAAGGGCAACAGTCCACCATCTATAAACATTTTAGAGAAACAAATACAGGAAAAATGCATTATTACTTTACAAATACATCACAGACTAGAAAAAAAATGTTCAAGCTGTGTATAGGTGGCTTTCCGTTTGTCATAAGATCAAAGAAATGTTGGTGGGAATAGACCTCTGGAGGTTTCTAGTCCAAGCCCTGCTTGGAGCAGGACTGTCACTGACACCAGATTATGTCAGCCATGGCTTTGACTAGCCACGGCTTGATAACTGCTGTGGATGGGGAATCCATGGAGATTGCACTATGCTCCTGGTTGTGAAGTTCCTTCCAAATTTCTAACCTGAACCTCCCAAACTGCAACCTCTAAGTTAGAGTTCCTCTAACTCTGTTTCCTTTTCATCACACCAAACAAGCCCAGCTTCTGCAATCACTTCTCACAGAACACCTGTTTTAGGCCTCTTACCATCCTGGTATCCCCCCACTAGAGCCTTTTCAGCTTCTCAATATCTTTCTTGAATTGGGGCCTTTTTTAGGGCCCCAAAAGAGCAAAAAACCCTCAAAACCTAACACAAATAATGGAGAAAAAAAGGGAAAAACCCTACAAAGTCACATTTCTGTTATGAATCTACTTTCAAATAGTTTGTGAAGATTTAATAGATTATTCATAGGTTTTTTAACAAACATATGTACTCATAACAATATATAGCGCATATTACTTCTAGGAAACATGAACTGTGAGCAAATACAAGGTTGTGTTACACCTCTCTTCCACTTTAGTTATGGCACCTAACAAATGTAAGCCATTGTTCAATGTGCTGGCAGGTTCTGCCACCCTTGAACAACAATCACGTGAAGTTTAGTCTAGGTCAGTACCAGCTACTCCATCCTCCCGGACTTCTCCATCTTCCATCAAATGGACAATGGGGAGCACTGCTGCACAGATGCATGCTGGAAACACAGCTTGAGGTGGTTGTGGCACATGATGGTTTGGAGTATGCTCTGTAGTGTGTTCTTCATCTGGAGCAGTAAGAAGAGTAGAAGGTGCATGTTAGTGAATAAGCCATGGTATTATCCAGGCAGGTTAAAGTAAACATTTATGTTAGGTGCTGTACAAACAGAACAACATGATAGGCTGTCTGATCACTGCAAGCATGGCAGGATCACTGCTATTTCCAGAAGAAATTGAGCCTCCAGCCAACTTCTTGATCAAGAATTTTCATTGTAAATATATATTTTTTCAATTTACATTTCTCTTCTTTTACAGAACCCATTTTCCTTTTGATGAAATCCCATTTCATTACCATTGTTCAGCCAGAGTGCTCTCCATGGCACTACTCTGTAAATGAAACATGAGAAGTAACGGAAGACATTGTGACAGCAGGAGTGAATAAAATAACGCAGGGCAGTAAATTATTATAAAGTGGCTCAAGCTTGGGAATACATTTGCAAAAGGAAATGCCACCAGCTTTATGGGTCAACAGGAAAGGCTTCCAGTGAATGAAATCCTAGGAAAGGATACTCCAAAGTGAAGTCAACCCACCTTCTGCACTGACTGCTGACCGCACTGACCAGACAGAGCCACGGCGGAAAGAATAGTTCCTATGAGATGTACTGGAGGTGCAGGAAGGACTCACAGAGAGACGGCGGGAGGCCAGGTTGGCAACTTCTTCTACTGGCAAAGAGAACAGGAAATGTCAATCCAGATCCAACTGACAGACTTAAGGGAACTTTCTGAAGGACAGCACTTACGACCAAATTGGAACATTGAAAGTTCAAGTCAGGTAACACTCAAAAGACACAATTTAAAATCTGTAAAGACCATCTATAAAGATCAGTCAGACAGGTAATTTGCTCATGCTTTGGGAACCAGCAGAGCATTGTTCCACAAGAGTGATCAGTTCTTTGGTGAGTCATACTGTAACTGCATCAGCTCTATACTTCTTTTCATCTACATCCTGTTAACCATCATGGTTGCTGGTGCTTAGTTTTTCCTAAGAATTGGGATTTCTGCTCACAGATTTCTCAATGTGTGTTTAGATCTGAAAATCAGTGTACTCACCTAATGGCACATACCTTGGAATGCCTTTAATGAAATCTTTGTGCTCTATTAGCCTGGACCAATGACAATCCTCGCTCAAAGACTAAGCTTTTCATGACCCATGTCATGTAACTTTGGCCATCTGAAAGTTTGGTACTGAGGTTGAGCTGGTCATCTAGGCTCCCACACTAGTCACCATAAAGGTAGAAAACTCCAAGGACAATTCAGCCTATCCTAGGCTATGTGTCTTAAGACAGATACTGCCAAAGGGTGATTCCTCCCACCCTTTAATTATTAAAGGGTTAAAGTTAGGAAAGACAAATTTCATTCCTGAGGGCACCAAAGCAGGGACTTTCCTAACACTAACAATCAATGTGCCTGGACATCACACCCCTAAGCAGTGCCCTGTGTTGGTGGCAGGTGCTCTCAGGTTCCTGGAATGCAGTTCCTGGCTGTGGAGCACACCTTCTTCTTCCTGCTCTGAGCTTGGTGTGCAGGTTGGCTCATAGCAGGCCTCCTGAGTGATGGGGATGGCAGTGATGAGACTGGCTTCCCGGCCTAGGCGCTTCTTCTCTTCCTCCTGCTGCAGGTTCTTCAGGATGTGCTCTGCTCGCTGATGGGAACGTGACACAGCTCTGGCTGAAAATGACTTCTGTCAGAAAGAAAAGAGAAGAAACACAGCCTGAAGCTGTTAGTTAAGATGCACACATCCTGCATTTTCTGCCAGAGACCTCAACGACATTAAGCAACTCAGTTTCTAGATACAAATCAGACTAGTGCTAGCTGAACAGAGATTCACCAGGAGACTCCTCTTGGAGCAATTTCTACAATAAGCCTTGGTGTAGACTTCTCCCAAGAGACACCACATGAACCAATGCAGAGAAAATGGTCTGTCAGACAGTTCAAGTGAACTAATCTTCTCTTGGAGAGAGAGCAGCTGTGTGCTCCTAAGATCTGAGTTACTGTCTCTCACAGGGGTATGATACGCGGTACAGTACCTCAGTGAACAAACAGAAAAGCCTTATGCCCCTGTAGAAAATTCTGTGTGCCTTACATGGACAGTGTACTAGATTTTTCCCAGCTGAAGAAGACAAGAAAACTCAGAGTTTAGCCCACATCTTTTGGCTTTAGCTTCCCCCATGCTGCTACAGAATAAAAACAGTGCTTACTCTCACGGTGTCTCTGCTTACCGACTGGTCTTCATTTATAGGATCTTGCACACTCCCGCTGCACTGAGGGACCCAGGGGGGGTCAAACATTGGCACAGATGGCATTCCCAGGACAGGAGAAGGCAGAGTGAAGTTTATACTTGGAGGAGGGATCTAACAAAAACACAAAAGACATTTTGTTACACTAGATCATTATTAATGTCAGTACTGCTAATTAAACATGAACACAAGTACCCAAGACATCAATTACCTCTGCAAATTTTTCCCAACTCCATATCTCACTACACTGTAACACCATGTATCACACAAATTTCTTTCTTTCTCTGATGTTTTTCCTGACCTGTGTCCCCATTACACTCTCCCCATTTTATACAGGAGTTCTACACATCACCTCCCCCACTAGTGTGACTTCACACAACCATTTTTTTCTCTAAACAGATTTTCAGGCAATTTCATGGCAGCGTGTCATTACACATCTATCCCACAAGGCAAGTTGTAAATGGCAACGTTGTGTTTAATGTATCCTATCTACCTTAAAGATCTGCTGTGCTCCCTCTTCCATCCTTGGCCAGACTTGATACCTAAACCTCCAGAGTGTGTGAAATTTGAGAATGGCATTCAGTCTTTGCACTGTCTCTGGGTGATGAAATTCGGACATCAGCATGTCAGAAACGGCCTCTGGCACTTTCACAGCACACAGCAGGAACATGGCAGCTGCAGGGAGAGAACATCTGATCATCTGTTTTCCTTAATAATGTGTTTATTTGGCAGAGAAAAACTGTGGCTGTACAAACCCCCACCAAAAGAAACCTAATCTTGGCTCCAGAAATGAGATCAGCAGTCTACCAGACCTCGCGAAAATTACACTGCTTCATGAAACCAAGCGCGTGTGATTCTACCTTTTGGAGCCACACAATGTTACGTGTGGTGCTTGTAAAAGGTTCTGGAAAACCTGCTTTTAAAATAAAACACAGTTTTGCTCTTCTCACTAAAACCTCAGTCATGACTGGTTTAAAAGGAGAAATATCTCTTGAAGTAACAGGACTAATTCAGTTTGGCTTTCAAAGATTCCACTTCTAAGTGATTTCTGTGATGATTAATAAAGGCTGGTTTAACAGAAGTTCAGCCTTCCCCTCAGAGCAGGAGGCAGTGCCCCAGTAGAGGTCTCACCTATCTATTTTCATGGATAAAACCAAAAAGAAAGGTTCTTAGTTAAATGGGCACCATGCAGTGATCACAATCTGCTTCCAGCAGAAAAGGAATTGCTATGAATTGAGAGACAAAGGACCAATGGACCACAATGGAAAACAGCACAATAGAAGTTCATAGAAGTTCAGAAGTTGTTGGCTCATAGTTGTTTCATTGGATCATATTTGAATACAAACATAGTCCAACTCCAGACCGATGGTGGCCAATTAATTTAGATGGGTGTCTGATGGTCACTGAGCAGGAAAGAAAAACAGGGGGAACAGTGTTGCTGTGGGAGTTCAGTGGGTGTCAGAGAGTCCATGGCTTCTTTGACCAGTAGCTCACCACAGATCACTGTAGACAATTTCTCTAGGTTTGGTGGCTGTTCCTCCACAGTAGAAAGAGGACATTTGCCGTTGTGTTTGCCTCAACACTTATTCAGAAGGTGCCAGGCATGAGAGCTGCACTGATGGGAGGCAGTCTGAACATCTGCAGAAAAACAAGGCTGGTCTTTGACTGCCTAGGTCCTGCCTTGCACTGTGAAGGCTCCTGTTCCTGCTCCAAAGTCCTGCTCCAAATCTGTAGGGACCCTCCTGTTTCACCAGCTCAGAGAACTTTCTACTTTTTGGTGTTTTCAGTGTAACTATGTCAAGTCTTAGTAGGACTGATTTAAAAGTGTGAGCTCAAACTGAAGTAACCAAAAAAAAAAAAAAAAAAAAAAAAACCCTTTAAAGAGCAATA